TGACAGAAACTGAGGGATGCAAAGTGGTGAGCTTTAACCATTTATGGTAAGATATTCAGTTAGCAGCTGTCTGCTTGCTTCATTTAGTTTAGAATACCAAAATAAAGTTAGTGCATATGCTCTTCCTTTAAATCTGCATTTGCATAAAAGGCATGCAGATGATGATATAAAAGCAATTGAAAAAATTACTGGACTGCGGTTGAGATCGATTGGGAGCAGCTTTTCTTGTAAGGTATAAACACTTTTTACTTCAACTTTTGCACAAAGTAACTGAGTAGCCTTTTTAATTTTTTTTTGTACACATTCTAATAAAACACAAAACAGTGCTTCTTTAAATACTTCACTGGTAGATCATCTCCTCACTCATCATGCATGCAGAAACAAAAGCAGAGGAAAACTGTTATACATGAACTTTGAAGTTTCAGGGTTTACATCTGCTTTCTTGCATCGCGACTTTGTGGATTTTTTTCTCTCATTCTTGTGTTTCCTTGCGTGTCTGTCTTAAGTTTAAGGCAGGATACAGCAGAAGCTGTATCTTTTCTCAGATCACACGACTATGTGTGAAACCCCAGTACTGTGGAACTCCTCTCAATCCCAGAGCCACAGGGTTTCAGTTTGCGGTGGCAGCTGACTTCTTTTCTGTCTCTAAAGGCAGTTACATCCACCGACGGCGAAGTTCGCTGAGCTGCGGAGGCTGAGAGTTAAGAAGCAGTCAGAAAGAGGCAGTGACTTCTCAGAAAAGGCTCTTGGTAGTTGCAGTATGACTGGAAGTCCTCAGAAGAAGTTATTGATGCAGTGCTGCAACTTTTTGCTCATGTTGTATCCAGTAAAATGTAAAAACAGTAAACAATGATCAGACAGAAAGTGGAGATTCAGCACAAGGGAGTCTGTTGGCTGCACCTGTAATGCTAACTGTAAATGTGTGTCAACATACACACTTGTGGTTTGTTGTGTTTGAGTCTCACCTAACTGACAGAAAGAAGGGTAAACCGCTCCTCGGAGCATTACAATGTTGTGATAAATTTGGTTCTTTCTATTTTCAGCTTTGTCTCATTTTGAAGTTTGCACATTACTCAGAATAATCCAAAACTGAGTTGGTCCCATTAGTGATTGATAGCAAAAATACGTTACAAGTTTAAGAATATTGCATTAAAAAGTCAAAGTTTGGCTTCTCTTTCATTTTCTTTTACATTTTCCATGACCCCTTAAAGGTATAGAGGACAATCTTTTATTTTCACATGGATCATCTAAATAAGTGGTCCTCCTAATTGTCAATCATTGTGGTGATATGTGTACGTAAGGCCCTCCTATGTGGTCGCCCCATTAGCCATCCTTTTCTGCACATGCTTACATATATCTGTGGTGAGCTACAGTTTCATTGAAGTCATTGAAGCTCTCTTTCTCGCCATGGTTCTTTGAAAATGGTCGTAAGAGTAAAAGTGTCTACGAAGTGGATGAGAAGAGAAGAAAGGCCTCAGAAGAGGCAGACATATCCCAGAATGCTTTGTGCGGAGAGCTCTCACAAAGCATTATGAGATTTGCTGTCACAGGGGTCCGCTGTCGCCCTACCCGACAGCGATGGCTCATAGAAAATATGGCACCGGCGTAAGTATGGTGTAAGTTAACTGAATTTGCTATAAAGTCCAGTATACAGTCCCCGCTCTATATAGTAATTGAGGGATTTAGATGTTAGGGCGGACGTTCGGACACAGTAAGCTTGTATGAGCTATGAGAACAGCTACTTTTAAACAGATCGTGAACAAGGAGAAATGGGCTTGTGCATGCTCTTTCATGCATTTAACAGACGTTCCCTCATGAGCGGGCACAGGGTTGTGCATGTGCATTTCTTTTAGGTGGAGAGGGTGGGTCTTTAAAAAAAAAAAAACGTAGGTTTTACGTAGGATCCAAGCGTAACTCATACTCTGTTTGGCTAGTCGTCCAATAACAAGATGTTCTGTCTTTCAACCTGGCAATTTTTATTAAGCAAGTGAGCACTTTTGCAAAGTAGCTTTGTTGCCAAGGTTGGACATAGTTAACACTCATTAAACTTTTAATTTAATACTTTAACACATTTAAACAGGTGGAAGAAAGTTTATCTACTAATGAGGAACAGACTGGCCATGGATGGTCTTGATGGCTTTTAGTTTTACAGGTATGATTGTCGAACGTTCTATGCGGCACAGAGGAGGAGGCTCCATTTAGTGGAAGCTTTGGGCTTTTTTAAGGTTAGTGAGGAGAGTGCTGTGGTTATGCAGCGTATTGCCATGGTTCATCATACCTGTCAGAGAAATTACTTTATCCAAGAGATTGGCTTCCATCTTTTGGCAGTTTGTGTTATCTAAATCCCATTAAATTATGGCAAGAGATGTTTAGATATATGGATGTGTGTTCCAGACTAAATGTGTTTCAGCAAGGTTTTCAGTTTTTGAGTTTAAGCAAGGTTTCAAATAAATTGTTTACAACAAGTTTGGTTTGATATATCTTGCTCCTTTATTTTTTTTTATTTAGTTTTGTTCATGAATGTAATTTAATATCACCAAGCTCTTCATAAGCTTGCACAGCCATTAACCTATTTTATAACAGATAAACATTCCAGTCTCAAGTCTGGAGCCTTTTCACAAGCAGGGCTTTCATCCTCTGACCTTTCTTATCAAGACATCAACAACTTCTAAAAAAAAACTTAATCCATCAGTTTTGACTTAAAGGTCTCTAAGCTCCTTAAAAAACTATATTTATTAAGCACATATAAAAAAGAAACCACCATAATAAGGGCAGAGGTTCTGATCTGTTTCTGGAACCAGACAAGACAATTGATTATGAACAAGGAGGAGAACTATAAATCCACTCTAAATTCAAACATTAAGCCAGATAATAGACTCTTTGACCCAGTGACTATTTATCAGTGAGCTAGTGAAGAGACTCTTACAGAGGAGTGATACAAGCTTTTTCCTGGTATTGGTTACTAGTCTGGGGGCAGCATTTTGAAACTGATGCAGGGGAGACAGTAAAGAACAGCTGATGTCAAAATAAACAAACTTCTGATATAAAACAATCAAATGAAAGTTATAGATTAGGGCAATATAGGCAGTATTTTGGACAAATATTACATCTAGATGTTTTATACTTTTCTATATTATACCATGCTATACTGTACTGAGTTCAAACTAGGGTTCAAGGTTTATAATTGTGTTAAAAGTACCAAAAACAACCGTTATATGAAAAACTTTACAACAGTTACTATCTTTGTAGCATTCAACCCTTTTAATGCAGTTTAGCACAGGTGGTGAATTATATCATAATACAGTATTTATCAATCTGAGGATTTTCTCAATTACATCGGTCTAGATTTTATATTACTTATTTACAGAGGGTATAACAATAATAAAACCATGTACAAACCATGTACTCATGACATGGATTCATGAGGAATACCACAATTCATTTTGGCTGCTGAGAAGGATACTTCTGTTTTAAAACCTGCATGAGATACATTGAAATCACATTACATTCCCCTTTCTCCTAATGTTAGAACAGGCACAGGTCAAAGCAGGTGTTAAAAAGCAGCTAATACTTATGTATGACTTTCTATGACATGCAACTGCCCCATACTTTCTGCTGACAAGGTAAATAAAAGGTATTGCTCATAAAAATCTAAGAGTGAATGAATGACAGTTTGTTATGACAGGTTTCAGCTTGTCATAACAAAATGAAGTTATTACACAGAGCTACATAATAACCTAAAATAAATTCCCCATTAACTTTATAAGCATAATCCAACACTAAAATATCAATCTCCAGGTAGATGTAGCATGAAACAAAGAGGACAAATGCACTAAAGCTAAATATGTGATGATCTGGAAAAAGTAGCTTTAGATCTTTTTAGAGTGGAGGACAACATTTACTGTATATACCAGAAAGTCTCAAATAAAAATTGGGCTTATGCTTTCAAACTAGAAATGGGACATTTGGTCCCTCAGTGGGATGATGATTCAAACTTTTTGACTAAATCAACTCAGAAAATGTTGTTCAGATATATAATCATACATTTTCATTGGTGATTTAATTTCCCGGATATAAATTCTGTTAAAAAATTTGTGGGAGGATTCAAAGACAAAAGAGTATCATCTAGAATGACCGTGCAAAGATCCTCCTCCCTGTTTTCTCCAGCCTTGTGAAATATTATAGTCTTTGTTTTCCTATTTTTAAAAGCGGTTTGGGCAATTTAGAGACTGCATGTATCCCAGTAATACGTTAACAGGTTTAGATCCGTCTCAGATTTATAATGCCAATATTCCTGGCAGTAAATGTAGGGGTTTCCCCCATGTAGTACTTCCATGAGCTATCACTGATACTCATTTGTCCCAAAGAGCCACACCTTGCAACAGGCCATGAACTGGTACAGATAAGGAACAAAAAGAGAGCCAGGTAGAAGGAAAAGCCAAAGGAGATATAAAATTACTGGCTGCTATCATAAGGAAGTCACAAACAAGAATGTTGGCCGTCTGACATTTTTTTTCTCCCATGTTGAGGAGCAAGAAATTGTAAAATAAAATGTTTTTAATCAAGGCTCAATGAGTTAAAAAAAATTTTCTTAGATGGCAACTCCATCAACCCATAACATCTTGCAGCTTTTCATGGCTCATATGGCATGTAAATGCCATCATATCTCTGTTATGACATAGTACCTTCTATTATCTTAGGATTTCATAGCAACAATTTTTTTCCTGATTTACCACATTTTAGTTTCAGCTGCTGTGGATGAAAAGTAAAAATAAGCTGAAGGTCCATTACTACATGAAAATACTTGAAAAGTCATTCTACTTTCCAGAACCGTCACTACATTACTATTCAGTCTTAATTTGTGGAATAAATAGACAAGCAGACAAGCTGATGTTCTTATTTCGCTTTTTATTTGTTTATTTCCTAAAAAAGAAAAATGTTCTATCACAAGTCACACTGAAATGTATTGCTTAAGAAAAAAAATATATTCATATATTTCGTTTACCTTTTTTTTTTCCTTTTTTTTTGCAGAAACGAGTCTTAGTTTCTGTCATTTTCCACCAAAAGAAACAAAAAGAAAAGTTTGTTTTCAGACACGTGAGCTGCTGTCCGTGTCTCAACAACCTTCTCCCTCACCGATTTTTTTTGTTTGTTTGTTTTTCTTAAAAATGCACAAAGAAATACATAATTCACAGTTACCATTTTGGTTTCATAAATTAATACAGTCACATATGTGCTACACCGGTCTAGAGCTAGAACATTGTAAATTGTATTCTTGAAACCTGTTATTTTCAATAGTTGGCTACAAGAAAGAACAGGCAACTTAAATGATCAGGATTTCCACCAATGTACTGTCTGTTATTTATCCTCTCTGTAATGCTTTTTGTCATCTTTTTTTTTTGTTTTGTTTCTTCTTTTTGAGTTTCACACAGAAGTGAGGCACACACAGAGTATATTTCATACATATACGAAAAAAAAAACTGAATAAATAAAATTTGGGAGGGGCTTGGGGTTCATTTGTCCTTTAATAATTGTCGTATCCATGAAAACAGGAAGTGCATGTAGTCTGGAGTCCTCACAGGACCTTTCTCATACTGAGTCAGGACTGTTTCTTTCCATCTAAGTACTGCTCGGAGGAACATGAGGTTCAAATAACAGCAACAAACATGGCAACACAACAAAGAAATGGGACAAAGACTTTGTTTGAGGAACAACAATCTACTACTGAATAGTATTGACTTCGCTCAAACAAAATACACCCCGAAACTCTGACTGTCACGGCTGCAAAAGCTACAGTCAGAAATGAACCAATGAAAAACGAGCTTCAATTGACGCCGACACTGCAAGGGCAATTTTTAAGGCACAGAAGCCTTGACATAATAGAGACTCCACCAGCTAAAAGCACTAAACAACAGATGCCCAGTGTCCTCAGTGACATTAAAATGGTGCCTTGATGGCAATTCCGAAAAACGATATGCACAGAAAGTGGAAAAAAAAAAACAAGAAAAAAAAAATTCCCTTCCCCATTGTCCCAAGTCTCTTTTTTTTTTTAGTGAAAGGTAAGGCCACTTAAAAAAAAAACAACAAAAACAAACAAAAACTATGAGGTTTACCCATAAAAAGGTAATCTCTCACTGCAAGCTCTGGGAGTGCAATTGTGGCGTAGGGTGGTCAGTCAGACAGGCTGATAAAAGATGCTTCTCTCAGGTGGATTCTGACGGATAGTTCTTTTAAATCCACCGATCTGCTGGTTCCCTGTGGACATGCGTGCCTCTGTTGGCATTCAGGCTGGGAGGAGGAGGCCTGGCTGAACAGTCTTTGACAGCTGTCTGGGTAACAAAAAAAAAAATAACAGTGCTCGGGGCGCTGAGAGAGGAAGAGAGTCATTTGCTCTTTGCTCATCTTAATCGTCACACAACAGGAATGTTCGGTGCCGAGCCACGACATGAGTTCCACGTTTATCTTCATCTGTTTTGGTTTTACATCGTCACTCTTTACCAGGATACTGTTGTTCTTTTTTCCAGCAATTTTTTAAATGTTAGGTTGTAAAAACCTAACCAACAAAAGCAGCATTGTTTCTCAATTTTAAAAAAAAAAACAAATTCATGCATGTTGTTAACCTTCATTACCAAAGCACCACTTTATATTTTCTCCTCCGTCAACATATAAAAAAGGATTTTTGTAATTTCACACCTCTGCATGCAAAGAAAAGTCACCTTTTCCCCTTTAACTTTGATTTTTTTTATTTTTCTTTGTTTGTTTTTAGCTCCCATTTGTAGCAGCAAAACTTTGAAAGGCCTAACTTGATATGTCAATGGGTGTACTGGTCCAGGCACTGGTTAATGATGCCACTGCTCCTCCCTCATTTTGCAAAACTTGTAATAAAGGGCCTAAAATTTTTTTTTTTACTAGCCACTTCAACCTATGCTTTCAATACAGCTGATCTAAATAACATTTAAAAAGTTGTGGGTTTTTTGTTTTTTTTTTAGAAGACAACAAAACAATGGAATATTCTAAAAGAAAAAAGTAAAATAAAGCCAAACATAAACACACACCCTGATAAACATTTGCTAATTTGTCACATTTATGTACACAAACTCCCTCGACAAGTCAATTCAGGTCTGCAAGACATCAGCCCTGGGCTGGACGATGGCGATCTTTCTGTATCGTTCGCCGTGGCGAGACGAGACGATCGGATGGGCAAACGAAAGGTTGAATGAATTCACGGATTTGCTGACAGTCAACAACTTGACTAAAAGCCACAGAGGGCTGCTGTTTTTAGAAAACAGCAGATAGGAAGAGAAGCAAAAATAGAGTTTTCTTTTATATATTTTTTTAAAGATTTTAAAATCCTCTAAAGCACTTTGTAATATTATGTTCTTTTGTTCATTTATTAATCGTTCCTATCGATACCCTTTGTCACTGAGGTCGACATCAATACTTCAATAGTCATTTTCTTTTCTATTATTATTCTATTTCAGGCCCCACCTCCTCCTCCTTGCACATATTGACCAGCTGTTATAAATCAACATTGTGTGCAAATAAACAACTACTTTAAACTGTTATATGAAAACCTGAATGCTTTGTGAACAATGCTACATATTGTTGTTGTTTATAAAATATAATATGCTTAAAAGTGGAAAAAAAAAAAGAAAAAGGTTTAACCACTCCGTAACAGAGGAAAGAAAAAAATGGACTCCGATTGATTGGTTTGAGAACAATAAGAATTTCCACTGGAATATTTCCACAGTCTCTGGAGCTCCGGTTCTGTTCATAAGTCCAGTGTGGATCTCTTCATGTCTGCACAGAGTGCACTTAGAAAAAATGTAGAAAAAAAATCTGAAAATACCACCAATCACCAACTTCTGCTAAGCTCAAGTGGGGGTATATTCTGTGATATCACACCTTGGAACAAAAAAAAAAAAAGTCTTGTACACTGTAATGTCCAGTTTTTTTGCCTGTAAAGTCCAGGCATCACATTGAAGTTCCTTTGCTATTGTTGCTGCTTTCACTATGTCAGCTGTGAAGGACAGAATGGGATCAACGTCTGCAGGGAGACTGGCAGTCAACAGTCACAAGGACAACCTTTTGTTTCCGTCACCTCCTGCCAATTTTCTCCCTTCAACATATTCTCCCCCGTTCATCCCGAGAATTGCTTCACAAAATCGATGGATCTTCATGAAGAGGTGGAGTGGAGGGGTAAGGTTCAGGCCATCACGAACTCAGACTTCAAGTCGGCCTTTACGTCGGGCTTCCACACAGAGTCGTCAAAGTCCAGATCCAGGGAGCCCTCGCTGGACATGCTGCTGTTGCTGTTGCTACGCCCGGCCTTACGATTGGGAAGCCACTGATACGGAGCCCGTTGGTCCCTCCTGGCCTTCCTGCGCAGACGCTTCTGCTGCATCAACAGCTGCAGACGCTCCACCTTGCAGCGGGTTGCACGGTTTTCGGTCTGACGCATGCGGTCACCTGCACAAAAAAAAGAAAAAAAGGATAATTAGTACATCTGTTATGGGGCCTATCATATATAGAGATGAAGCAATCAGATGAGGTTGTAAGAGGTAATCTACAACTAATTTTTTTCCATATGCCATAAATGAATCATAACGAACTTCCACCATTATTGGTTAATAAATATAAAGCACACATTTGGAGATATTCTGATGGGCTATACTTAGCGTATAATATCAAAATCATTATCTTTTAGGTCTGAGCTGCTGGTAATACAGGAAAATAAGTGCACTAATACTTTTTTGGACATATTTCAACCATTGGTTTGGCACCCCAAACATAAGAGCGCACACACACACATATTGGCTGTTCAATCTTTTGGTTAACCTTCTCCCACTGAGCTCCATCAGCCTCCTCACTCTGAATGGAGGACCAGAATCTCCTTGAGAGCCATCAACAGGGTCAATAAAGGTAAAAACACATAAAAGAGCCAACACATGCTTTTGGCCGCCTGTGATATTTGCAAACACAATTAGGTATGACATGCTTCAGTGGCTGTGTGTGCTCCTAAGTGCATTTCTAGCTGTTGATGTGGCTATAGGAGACTTCAGTCTCCAGGGAGAGGCCTTACATTGGACTGTGAATGCTCTCCCAACACTGGCATAGTTGAGCCTAATTCCATTTATACGTATATTCAGAGAGCTCAGAAGGAAGGGAAGGTAACCGCAATCTATTAGCTAGCTCCATTAGTATCTGTCTTGGAATTAAATAATTAAATATTGGGCTAGGATGTCAATAAACCGAAGCACAGCAGCCATCTCTGCCTCTGCAGCACACATGAACATAGGCTGAGACACAGTGGAATCCGCAGCACACAAACACACACACACGTGTACACCCCTACACCGCTATGGATGCACACAAGCACTCTCTCAAAGATCGGTGCACGCACACACAAACCAATGCAGCACCAACAGGCGCAGCAGCTTTTAACGTGGATCGATGGCAAATTAAAAAGACCTATTGATTAAACCTTAGCTCTAGTGCAGCCATCCATCTCGAGGCCCGGACAACGCTATTGGCTTTCAATAGAAAATGCAAGCAAATGGAAATTGTAAGCGGTGAGTGGGGGGTAGAGGGGGGGAGGGTGGCTGGCTAAAATTGGGTGCTTTTCTCCAATTTCTTTTTTCTCCATTATGGCTTCAAAATCTAAGCTCATTGAGCACATTGCACCCTTTTTTTGTACCCCAGCTCACTCCTCCCTCGCCAGGCTCCTTCCCCACGTCTCCCCAGAGACAGCTAGGTAGGGCTGTTCAGAGAAGAGAAAAGAGGGGGCCCACTGAGGAGGGGACGATGGTGTGGGTTAAGGAATTTCTACCCCTTGAGGCACGGGGCGGGGGGGGTGGAATAAAGAGTGGAGGGAAAAAGGTGGAGGGAGCAGCCATAGGTGTCAGCTTGCAGAATCGATTATGGCCTCCTTTGCTTTTCCCCCCTTCTAAAGGAATGAATTCCGGAGTCGGTGTGGGCTTTATTTACCGCTTTTCCCCCGAGTTTGTTTCTTAGGTCAGGGACTGCAAAGTATTATTCAGTTCTTGGACTATTCGCCATGGCAGGGTAGCGTATACACTTAAGGGCTGTGAAGCTTTTGGAAAAAGTGAGGTAACAAATGGAAAAGAGACATCTGTATGTTGCATTAATCATACAGACGGACAGAGGAAGTTTTCCCATTTCCTTCTAATATATTCAGCACTGGAAAAAAACATACATGTGCATCCAGATGCTTCATGCACTTTAGTGCGGGCAATGTGTTACCCCTAGGGAACAAGGCCAATCCACTGGGTAGGGGGGGTTGCCTGCATTGCATCCATTGTTCCTCTGCACCATGTGACATCCACATACGTTGCTGCAAGCCTTTGCCCACCCCCCTCCTTGCTTCCATTTCCCTCATTCTCTGCACAGATAGGTCAAAAGAGATGCCACCTTCTGGTTTAGTAGAAATTTGGCCGTGGTAAAAGAAACACAGGGAAGTCGGTGTATCTTATGATCTAAAATCCATTGATCTGCACCCATTTGTATTCCTTTACCTCAACAAGGTAGTCCCTTAGCCATGCTCTTTTTTTCTGAAGCGGTGCATCTGCTTTTAACTTAGCGCTGCAAAAGGAAGCGCACATACACAGAGGGCAGTTTGGTGGTGCAGCAGGAGGTCCTGGCCTTTGGCTTGGCAAGAGTTCTGGGAATGTGCTTGGAACTCCACCAAACTTGTGTGAGCGTGTTTATGTGTGCGAGTGCAAGAGCCACCATTCATGAGCGTCACTACCGGAGCCCTGGGCGGCTGGGCCGGACACAGCTGGCCGCAGGGATCTCCAGACTATGTTTATGACAGTGGGGCTATTATTAGGGTAGTATAAAAAAGAACAGACAATTTAAAGTAGCACAGGCACACACACACACACACACACACACACACACACGCACAGAGCTTGGCTCAGCCTGACTAAATAGGCTGGGGCTTGACGCAAGCACAATAGGAGCCACACAGAGCCAACATAGGGAATAAATCCAAAGAGGAGATTTAGGGAACCCAAACACAACCTTGTTTGACACAGGAAAGAAAAACAAGAAAGCAACAATGGCTCTTTTTATAGAAATGCACAGTCACTATCAAACAGAACACAGCTCAGGGGTACAGGAAGGAAGAAAATACCAGTCCCTTTCCTTCATCTACACACCAAGAAGCCATTCCCCTCCCCATCTACCCACGCCAAAAATAAATAAAACAATAATATTCCTCCCAGATGAAGATTCAAAGCACTTCTCTTACTGCCCGACATTGCAGAAAAGGACAAGAGAAAAACAGTCAGAGAGCGAAGAGGTGATCTATTAATAATCGATGCGTCAGTCAGTTTCCCTCGCCTTTGAGCCAAGCCCAGCAACACAGCGAGGACTGAGGAGGGGAGCACTTGGAAGGGGTGGTGGGGTTTTAAATGAGCGGGTGGGGGATGAGAGGAGTGGGTGGATGGAGGAGTAAGCAAGCAGGGGATGGATACAGAGAGAATAAAAAAAAGCAGATCTGCAGGACACAGAGCTTCTCTTTCTATTGACTGAAGAAAGATTGTCCTCCATTTGCAGTTACCTTATTGCTTTTATTTGTTGTTTGTCTTTATAAGTCTTGTGATCTTACATAGAGAACATTGTGTTTGTTCAGCATCCAGAAAAAAAACAGGCGGGAGGGAGGAAGAGATGGGTTGACTAACGCTGCACCAATATCCACTTAGGTTGCAATGTAGTCAATGAAAGCTCTATTGGACGTGGAAATCAAATAAGTTTTGTTTATTTAAAATCATATATGAAATAGTGTTATATTGAATAGTGTTGCGCCAATGCCATTTTTTTGGCCCTGATACCGATACCGTGCAGTATTGGCCGATAACGATACCATCTCTTTGAAATTGTTGTGTGTGTGTATATATGAAGAACTGCATACCATTTGGATGTAAAATAATTGCCATCGTGGCTTTGCCAAAGCGCTGCCTACCTTTGTGAAGCAGGAAAAAGACAATAAAAGTGAACCCAGTAGAACTTTTTATTGCCTACCTGGAATGGGTGACAATAGTTGAATAAACTTTTGGCTCTCAAAATGGTATCGGTGCCTTATTTGTTGTTACTCGCCGATACCAATACCACCATTTTAGTGCTGGATCGGGGCCCCGCCTGATAATGAAATCGGTGCAACACTAATACTGAACATCAGTCATTTAAGAATTTATCTGTCTTATATGCTATTATTGTTAAGATATTGTAGAACTGGCTTAAAACAGACAAACATGTATCAAAGTTGTCCTGTGTTCAGATTGATCAGCTCCAACTGGTGACTAGGTCTATTAGAATAAAAAATGTTATGTATTATCCAAGCGCTATCAGGTATAAAAACCTATTTTGCTATTTTTGTTATGGTAGCCATTCTAAACATGAAAGATTAATCTGAAATAAGTTTCCCTGAAAATCCCTATTTAAAGCAACTGCTTTCCTAAACAAAAGCAGAAATCAAAAACATGCGGCACAATTCTGACTGCTTCACCTGTACATATCTCTAATGTCTGTATCTATTACAGCCGATAAAGCTCTAATGGTTTAACATCTTGCTTGCACATTTTGGCCCCAACTTGCACAGAACATAAAAAAACAATCATATATAGAGATGAAGAATTTCCGGGTCGACTCTAAAAGATGCCTCGACTTACACAGACACGTATGTACTGAAGTAACCAATAGAAGCTGAGCTAAAATGAGTATCCTGACAGCAAGTAAAAGGGCACTGATGACCCTGCAGGGACACAAGCTCTTCAATGACTTTTAGACTTCATTTGCATTCCCTTCTTCCTCTCCTCTCCTTGCTGACTATGAAAGGGCACCTGATGTGCTTGGCTGGCTTTCCTGGATACCTCGATGGCCACATAGAGTCACTGGGGGCATTCAGCGAGTTTAAGTAGCGCATGTCCCAGCAAATATTGGCTGGCAATGAGAGAGCAGTTAAGTCTGCTGGCAGAATGAGTACCTTACGGGTCAGGGTTTAAGTACAGGACTCAATAAGGTTAAGGGTAGAAGATCTCTCACTTTCTCTGGCTCGTTCACAGCCTCCCTCCCATTTTCCTTGCCTAACCCTGCCTTAGCCTACACGAAGCAAACATGACCTGACAAATCAAAAGGAGACAAGGGCAAGTTAAAGGATGTGGAAGACACACAATGGGGGAAGGGCAGTGGGGTTGGAGAGGCTTTTGGAACCAACTCAGTTTCTGTTTTTCTTCAGGGTTTTGTGTGCTTGTTCTGAACTAAGGCAACTGTGGGGCTAAAAGGCAGTCATATAATCCCATAGGCCTCCACTCCTCTGACCCACAATGGTCTGGCATTGTGCTCTTTACCCCCAACACTCTCACAATAGGACAGCCCAGGCAGGGGCTTAGGTTCACCAGAGGCTGCAGGATGGATGCTCACCCAACATAGCAAAGGAATTAAGCCAACAATCAGTCTGCTAGACCATGGTAATTCCTCCCAGATCAAACTCAACATGACTCCCATGTTGACAAATCTTCACAACTCAGCAGTTTTACACATCGAGAGTGAAAAAAAAAAAAAAAAACACGTGAATGAGTGGATGTTTTCTGTTTTTATTTTTTCTACTCCTTAACTTGTAGTAGATATTACGGGAAGTGAAGAGACAGCCAGCTAGGTAAAATTTGTCAGAAATTTCTCAGAGATGCTCTTTTTTTTTACTGGATACAAAAATGATTAAAATGTTACTTTTGACACGATGTAGAATATAAAACAAAGAAAGGCCTCCATCATTGTCCGACTAAGGTTTGTAAAATTAAGCAAGTCTAAAAAGTCTGATTTAGACAAAAAAAAAGGGCCCTCCTTCAACATTTGCCTTTGATTAAAGTTGTTTTTTGACCTTTTGGTATAGTTAAAGGCAGGATCAAAACACCCAAAGAATGAATGAAGGCTCAGTGTTGCGGCTGCAAATAGCCCCATCTTCACTGGCCTCCTCCCCCTCTCCCTACTGCTAGGTCCACAAAGCAAAGGCTTTTTGGGGCAACATTCTGGAATAAATCTATTTTTAAAGACCAAAACGAACACAGACAATGTATTGATGCAGAACGCAGACATGGAAAGAGACGGGGGCGAATAGAAGACGGACAGAGATGGAAACTAAAGATGGGGCTGTTTTTGGATAGAAAGAGCAGATGAAGAAATGGCAAGAATGGGTGTGGGGCAAGCCTCTAGCACCAGTACAGGATTGGTTTGGTAAATGCAATTGTGTAAAATAAGGCTGTTTTGTTCCAACAATGCAGTGAAAACGTGAGGGGCTCAGGGTGGAATAGTAGACAATACCAATGAGGCCAAAATGACTGTGAATGTCTTCATGTTGCTTTAAACCAGGGAACAAACAACATGGGACACAGACAAAATTCAGTCACTAAGGTGTGTGTTTTTCTTTCTTGGTCGAAGAAAAACATCAAACACTAAGCATATTGATTAAATACCCACTCAAAAAAGACATTGTACAGTGTTTATTAATTGCACACCAACTTTACCAGTGTCTCACCAGAGAGTGGTTTGGTTTCCTAAGCAGAAGATAAGGCAGCATCAGGGGACAATGCAGTTTTTCTAAACACAGTTGCTCTAACCTCGCCTGAATGTTATCGGTTTTGGACATCTGTCAGACACTCGACATCCTGAGAGGCTGCTCAGAAAGGATGTTTAGAAAAAAAAAAAACTTCCCTGGCCAAGCCATCTAGAAATGGAACCTGTCATGGTTTTTCTGGCCCATGCATGTCCCATCTCCAGCTCTTCTTTAGGAAAATGGTTAAGTAACTCAAAGCCTAATCTAATCTAAACATAGCCTAGCCCAGGCTTGAAGAGGTAAACCTATCCCCTTGTGCAGAAAAACAAAGCCGACTCCATTGACTGATGAGTGAAACCTGACTGAACAGGCCTAGAGAAGCTTTTGTTGCATTGCTGAGGAGACCCCCGTCTCCTTGATTCACTTCTTCTTTTCATCTCCCTAAAAACCCAGGAGACTTATACGCTTCAGTTTTTTGTTCTTTAGTCTGAATTTTCCTGTTAAAGCATTGTCAGTATTTTAAAGATGAAAATAAGAACTTGAAGATGAAGTGATGTAAAATCATCCCAACAGAACTGAGCTAACCATGATGTGTTATGAGAATAGAAACAAAAAGACAAAGGAGACAATGGATCTTTCATTGGTTTGCGAAACAATAACAGAGCTTTGCAAAAATGAGTGGCTCTATTGTCATTTAACACAAGTATACACACAGGCATATGGGTACACACACACACACACTCCTTCAAAGCAGTGCCAAATGCAAGAACACCTGCTTCATGAGGCCATTAGGGCACCAAGAGACTAACAAAGACTCAGTGTAAGAGTGTGACTGTGTGTTGGGTGGGGCGTGGGTTAGTTCTTCTGTTCTCGACATGCTTAGACGTAAAAGGTGTGAGGAGAAGGCCAACTCACCAGGGGGTTTGCACATGCGGATCTGGCTCTGGCACTGCACCAGTGGGTGAAGAGATGGAGGAGGGCTGCCAGCAGGCACAGAGGTAGCTTTGGGAGAGAGGCCCGTTATCCCAGCAACTGCTGGTGAAGGAGGCGGTGAGGGGGATGGGGAGGTGGGCGAGCCACACTGAGTCTGGTAGCGGAGCTGGGTGAGGGAGGGGGGCATGCCCTGGTAGTGCCGAGTGGCGCTCAGGAGGTCGTTGAGGATCTGCAAGATGGTACCGATATCACGTCTTGGACGGCCGTTGCTGTCTTGGCAGTTAGGGTGCAAAGTGCCTGAAAAGAGAAGCAGGGTATAAAAAAAAGTGGTACAAAATGTTTTGTAATTTTTTACAGGATTTAAATTTTTCCAGCATTAAGCTCAGCCTCCACTTACCTGAAAAGGTACCTGAGAAGACTCCAGGAGCATGGTTGACAAAGCTCTCAATGATTGCGCCAGGTTTACGTGAGCGCCCTGAAGGACTAGATCCACTGCTAGAGCTGTTGGGGCTGCAGTTAGCCTGGATCAAAAACACAACAAGAAGAAGGAAGCGTAAATCACTACGAAGTACATTTCGTACAAACAAAAGCTCATTTGTAAAAACATAACATATTTCTTACACTTTTCAATATTTCAATCTTATATTAATGAAACCAAGTTTATATTAGCTTACTTTAAACTCTGATCTAATCTTGCACTTTATAAGATTCCCAATGAGATTAATTAGCGAAAGAAAGAAAAATTCTTTGTAGATTTAATGATTGTTCATGCTGGAGTTAACAGACATTAGCTTTCCTTTGTCTTTTCACAGCCAAGACCTCCAGGAGGTCAAGAAATTACAAAAAGCAAATTTGGCTGTTAAAGTTTTCCCAAGTTAAATAAAAGATAATAAAAGTTTACTATGGTTGACTTATGACAACAACAAAAAAAGCTTTGCTAAATCACCCAGTCTACCTTTGACCCTCTACTGGCTTGACTAAACCACAGATCCCTCTCCATCATTCCTTTATAAGGCTACTAAATACCTAAGATGGTGCTCCATTTCATTTAGTTTAGATATAAAGCGCTATTCCATAGCTTAAAAACAAAGTGACAAAAATATTAACAGAAATAATACTTTGTTTGTGGGTGGTCTTACCTCAGGACACAGAACCGGGGCTACAGGGCTGACCTGGCCAATGTCGTGGCTGGGTGTACTGGAGGAGGCCTGATGGTAGTGGTTGTGGTGGTGATGATGGTGATGATGATGATGGGATGGAGTTCGAAAAAGTCCCCCAGGGATTTGGCGAGGGGAGTGGGGAGGTGGGGTAGGAGGGCTACAGTGAGTGGAGGAGGGCGACTGGTGGTACATTGGGGGAAGTGGCTGGTGGTGTGTGGTAGGCAATGGAAAGGAATGTGAGCCTGAAGAAGAGGAGGAGGGAGGGGAGGGATGGGGCTGTGACAAGTGGGGGCTGGGGTGATTGTGAGGTTGGTGGTGGGGGGAAAGCGGGTGAATGTGGGGAACTCGGGGCTGTTGCCCTGTAGGCTGTCCTGTTGCGGCCTCTGTGTTTCCCCGGGTGATGAGGTGTCGATGCTGGAGCTGGGGACCCCCGGACTGCTGCGCTGCCAACTGCAGTTGAACGAACATCATGTGGTCCCCTACACGCAGTGCCAGGGTGAGAGGCGAGCGGCCGGACAAGAAGTCACTGACCTGTATGTAGAAAAACAGCAAAAAATAGTTAGTTTAAAGGGTTCTACTTTATTATACCTAATAAAAGCCTTTTTTCTTCAGTGCCAAGAGAATAGAGCCTCATAAACGAGTTAAATATATATTTCTTATTTTGCCATGGATACCATTTGAGTTAAACAAAACAGTGCTTTGAGCCCCTCTTCTCATGGAGACGCAGACATACCACACTTAGACCACCATCCAATCATTCACAGAACCATAACAGTGGACTATTTACTTCTGGATAAGGAGACCTATTAGAAAACACACAAACACACAGACTCCACTCTTTGCTGTCCTCCATCTGCCTCTGGGTCCACTCTTAGTCAGCAGTGTCATTCCGCTCGGAGACAAAGACCACCCTTCTGTCTGGCTCTTCGCCTGAAAAATCTGTCCCACGTTCAGGAAATACACCCCGCCCGCCTCTCAAGCACAGAATAGTCAATTGTCTACAGATCTGCAGCGGATGTGGAAGTGCTGCCCATTTTTGGAGCTCTGGCAACGATTAACAAGGGCCAAGTGTCGAGGTCTTCACTGACCCAGTCATGGCCCGGATGGAAGCACGCAACCCAAGGGTAGCCGAGCTGCAGGACTTGGCTTGGATGCTTCAAACTAAATACCAAACCTTGTGAATGTCTTTTAAAATCTGTGTCCTTTAAACGTGTCAAAAATATCTGTCGGCCCTTGAAAACTCAGTCATGATTGTATCTAAAGCTGCTTCCAAAGTGAAGCAAACAGAAACCACCCCCACTGGTAAATACAAAGTGACACCTTTGTTCAGAAATCTTTCAGCAACTCATGCTCCATGTGTACTTTAGGTTCCAAGAGGAAACAAGAATCTAAGGGGAGACAAGAGCATACATTTTTGCAGGAGATGAAGAGAAGGAAGAGTCCTTCTTTCTAGCTCTCCCTTCAAACTATGTACATTTCTCAGCTATGCTCCTAAGATCTTGGTCAACAGTTATCCCCAAAACACCATGCTGTTCTTAAAAATAACTCCCCATTTTCTTGTGCCTATTCATTTATCTACTGACTGCTGCTCCTGTATTGCCAGGATGACCTTTAGACAATGGTATTGACATGGTGAACAAAAAAAGCTGACTAAAAACAAGAAAACAGTCAGGTAAAAGGTCTAAGCGGGTTGGGATGATCCGATTGTAGAAGTTAACAACATAAAGGCTCAAATAAAGTGCAAATAAATTTGCATACAGGAGGTCCGAGGATGAATAGAACTGAGCTCTCCTCTTTTTCTCAATGTAAAGTCAGCCGCTGATACATTGTTGATACAGTCCACACCCGCCATGATTACTGCAGCGTGGTAAGACAATAAACCCAGCAGGCGTAAGGTGTGGTGTGAAGTGAGGAGGAGGTCAGGGCAGGGTATTGCATGAGGAAACTCCATCTACAAAAGGTTGCCTGATAGAAAGAAGGTGTGTATATGTATGAGACTTAAGGGGGGAGGGAGAATCCAAAGGTCGAGGGGGGGTTGGAGAAATAAAAGAGAAAAGGCACAACTGAGTCAGTGAGTGACAGCTGTCAGGAGAATGAGTAGACAGTCAACCGACGGCAAGTCAAAGACCCCAAGAGAGACCACAAATTGTGTATTTTGAAAGCATGTGGGGGGTTGGGAGAAGGACTTTTTACTAAGCATTGGCTTTTGCCGACTATGACATCTCTCATAGTTGAAATTTAGTATTTATACTGATCCTAAAGTTAAGCCACAACATTACCGTCAGCAATTACAAAAACAACATAGTCATACAAAACTTGAATATAAGCGAACATGCTCAAGCTTCTAATGCAGAGGTGGATGAATAAGTGTATGGATGCAACACTTATATAATGGGATAGTGAAGTAATCTGGAAAGTAATTTAGGAAGGAAATATTTTCCTAAACTCACCCCAGATCGGGAATTTCTATCCGAATTAAAATTCCAGACTTTTCCATGCTGTTTAGGAAAACTGTGAGGTGCCAAGTGGTATTTGCTTTACCACTTTGTTTTTCTGTGCTAGTGTGAGGAAGCAAAGGCAAGAAAATGAAAGTGACAAAAAAGACATGACAGTGAGTGACAGCAGGAGAAACAAAGAGGAGGCTTGATTACCCTTATAATAACTAGTGTGGATTATTCAAAACCACCAAGATGAAAATCATGTACTCCCACTGAGCTCACAACACCACATGGCAGGCTTCAAATTAGGCTCCAAGAGAGGCAAGCTTTCTTCCTCACACCTCGTTAGTTTTTTCCTTCTTCTCCTTCTTTTTACTCCTCCGTTCGATTTTTGACACTCACAAGTCTCAGCCATTGAGTCATGAAGTCAATTTAGAAGTTCTGTGCACAGCTCGTGTTAGATCTCACATACATAAGAGCTAAAAATGTGTGCAACACTGCATGTGACTCATTTGGGGTCTCTAGACACACATGCAACCCACCACAACCCCGGCTTCAGGCAGGCAACTAAAAGGCCACAAACCCACATAAACATCCACGTCTCATTAGAAGGGAGAAAGACAGGGAACGTCGACGACTATCTGCGTGGCAGCTCTCATATCTCTGCGGTCATTTTTCACATCCCCTTGGCAGACAAACAAAGAGCTGCATAGAAACCTACAGGTGTGAAATTCCTTCCCTCAAAACATGCAGTTTTCCCAACAATTCTCAAACCGCCAGAAAAGAAAAACAGAAGACGAGACATGCAAATGGTCTGTGTAGCTCTGAGCTGTGGAGTAGAACACCTGAAATAGTTCTTATCTCTTAAGGGAAGGGAGGAGGCGGAGGATGTTACAGTGCAGCCTGCCTGCCAGAGGCTAGATTGGCAAGCGATCGTGTAACAACAAGCCTTTTCCAGACGGACAGAGACTAAGAGAGAAACAAGAGGAGGAAATGTGTTGCAGAGTATGTCTATATGTCTGTGTGTGTGAGAGAGAGATGGTAGATGGGAGGGAGTTGGGCTCTCTGGCGCTGGAGATTTGGCTAGTAAATGATTCCCAGTGGTCTCGGCTAGCAGCTCAGCTCCAGTCCAAACATGCCTGTCTGCTCTCGAGAGCCCAGCCAAGACAGCTAATCTAGCTGGCCGCTGTTGACATGAGGACCTACATTAAATCTACTAGATAAAGCATTCTAGAAATTACAGGCAAACAAAACAGAGTTGTGCCCTGGCTTTCAGTCTCCGACTGTCCGCTACCTTTCCTCAGATCTTGACCTCTACCCGTTTGCATTGTTCTCAAATAGTGACAAGGTGATAAGCAAAGAAATAAGTGGCTGATTCTAGTGCCAGTCCCTTCAATCCCTCGGTCTACGTCACCGCCAGAAGGTGGTATTTTGTTTAGCAGGAGGATTCAGTTACCATGCTGTGAGGGGGATGAATATAAGGGGCAATGTGGGGGGATGAGCCGTGGAGACGAGATGGAGGAGGGGGAGAGGAGGGAAAAGGTGGCATGAAGGATAGAGGGAACCAGGATGGTGAAGGGGGGATGGAAGATGCTGGCAATGGGGGTAGGGTGTCAGAGTGGTAGTGGGTGATGAAATATTCAGCGAGAGTGTGCCTCCAACTCCCCCTCTTACACTACCATCACCCTTTTTTTTTCCTTTTCGACATCTCTGCCAGACAGTTTTAGTTATTGGGGTCCCTGTGGTTCAAGGAACTCATTTGCAGTCGTTTTTCCTTTGCACACTAAGCGAAGTAGGGGAGAGAGATAAGGACTGAGGGAGGAAGAGCGAGGCTGAGAGTCTAAAAGAGGCAGGGAGGGGGGGTGGTGGGGGAGGGAGCGTGCTGGCAGCTCTGAGCTGACATTCATGAACAACTGAGCAGCTTTGTGTCAGAGAAAAGAGGACAGAGGATTGGAAGGCGGGGCAGGGGGGGTGGGGGTAGGGTTGTAGGGAGGTAAGCTACGAAAGAAGGAAGCCGGCTTCTTCAGCCATGCTTCGGTTCCGATGCAGCTGGTCACCTGTCAAACGGCTAGGTGAACGTTAAGCTTCAAAAAGCTGCTTATTAACCTGCCCATCGACCTAGATGTTTTGATCACACCAGGACACTATTGATAGTCTCTGAGTAGACACACGCAGACTAAAGATGCAATAACAGCCTCTCCAAAGAGACAAGAAAGGAAAAAAAATAAATCAATCAATGAATTGCACTATGCCCTAAATCCTAAAGGTAGGTGGGGGGCTTGGAGGCTATTTTCGGGCTTCCTTAAAGCCCACATTAGAGAGATAAACACAGTCTAATAAGAAACAGGCAGTGATGGAAGATGGAAAGTATAAGCAAAGACCAGCTGGTTTACACAGAATCTGGAAGGCAAAGTAAAAAAAAAAAGGTTTGTGAAAATAGTGCTCCCCTTCCCAAAATGACCTACACAATCTATAGACAACATGTGCTTCGAATAAAGGTTGAAGAAAAGATGCCAGAACGTCCATAACACATGTGTGAGGAATTTTGACGTTCTCCCTTTAAACCTCCTCTTTCTAGTAACCTGAGAGCTTTTGACCTCTTCCTGTCTGTTTCGGCTTGAAGGTCTAGGTGTGAGTGGTGGCTATAAGATCTTATATCCATGGCCTCCTTCCTCCCACACAGTAGCCACACTAGTCACGATGCCTGATACTCGAATCATGAAGGTGCCGTGTCACAGGGGAGTTTATAACAACGACGGTCACGACTCAAATATAAGCGAATAAGACTTCCCTGGCCGCTCAAGGAGAGAACACTCAACGATAAAGACATTAAAAATGAATGTTGGCACATGTGAACGCCCACATAAGCCCATTGCGACCAGATGTATGTACACAATAGGACAATGAAATCTGCAGCAAAATCCACCTCTCTCTTGATTGCGCCACAACACACCTTGATTCCCTGAGCCCATTCCAGCATCTCCTTTCCACTGTGCGCTTAAGCAACACAAAGGGGATTACACAGGTGCAAAAAACACTGATCAGCTTATTAATGCAATTTTCAAGGCCAGGATTTACATGAGCAGGGACTGAATGGGCCTTCAGATCAGCATTGTCTTTTCTTTCGTGCACAATTTGATTTAGACATTCAGCAACAAATTAATTTCTGTAGCTTCCATTGACAGAACAAAGAAGGTAAATCATCATTGTACAGAGCAAAGACTCCCTCTTTTCAGCTGCTTGCATAAAAAATGTTTTCTCTGCTGTTTTTGTTACGCAAGAGGTGGCAAAAGGACAAAGGGATGTTGTCACACTGGCCATTCAACCTATTGGTCATTCTTCAATTCTTTGCACTCAGAAATCCTTCAATAAAATTACTCTCCAATGATTTCTAGTAGTGTCAATAGAGCTGATTAACTAGCATGCAGATAAGGGGGTGAGCTGGTAGGAAAGCTGGAAAGAGAACCATATTGACCATGTGTATTGATCTGTTGTACACACAGTCGCAAACTGACACACAGACGGTTACACAAATCTTTCTGTATTTTAGGTCTGAGTTGCGGAGAGGCATATGTAGCTGAGCTATCAACTATCCCCAAGTTACCAGGATTTACCATAAGCAAACACAGCTGGACAATATTCCTGAATGACTCGTCCAGACCTCTCCCCCTCCACCTGTCATGTCGGCATTGCTGCTCTCTGAGGGATGAAGAGCAGAGGAAATTAGGTAAGGGTGACTCAGAGGTGACTGCAGACTGATTGTTAGGTCTTCATAGTTTGCATCCATCTGTTTGCAGGGACAATGGGAAAGATGAGCTTCATCCACAGAGTGAGACAAAGATGAGGAACTTGGGGGGGTGGATGGGGACTAGAGGGTGCCTGTCAGTGGGAAAAGAGTAGAGCAGATATGTAACAGTGTATTCCACTGGGACATAGGGAATGGCAGCACACAGCATCCTCCCACAGCTATCTGTATGTGTATTCAAGGCAAGATTTGTCAATTTGCAGCAAGCTGAGCATCGCTCCATCTGGGCAGGGCATTGATTTTGAAATCGGGATGCTCCACTCTCGCTTTACTCGTCTCAATGCAAGCATGCAACATAAGCACAGATTGTGGGTCTGCAGCTTAGTTTTAAGACTGACTCAATCATTGATGGGTAGTGAGCTGGGCAGTTTGGTGCTGATGCTCTAAGACAGGAACAAAGAGATGACTAAGTGGGGGGAAGTGCATTTGGAGGGGGATGGTGAGGGTAACGGCTAACCGCCTGGTTGGCTTTTATTCTATCATAACGTGCATCACTGGGCAAATAATTCATGTGTACTAGCAAAGCAAAATAATCTGTTTTAGTCAACTGCAACAATCAGTGAAAGAGGAAATGATGTCTTTACCTGAATTCCCATCATATTCCTTCACTGTCTGTCATGCAGATTTGGGTTTACTTACAAAAGATCAAAAATACATCATTTCATTTAAGATCTGTGAGTGAATGTTAAAATAAGCTTTACAGTCAAAGTCTTCTTAACAGGGAGAAGGAGGGGTGCATGCATGCACATCCTGATGGGCTGTCAGGAGTCAGTGGCTTAACACAGCTTAGGTATCATGAAAAACAGGCCCTAATGGAGGCCAGACAAGGCATTACTGGAGCTAAAGAAGACAGCCATCATGACCAACCAGAGGCAGCTACAACACAACTTGCAAACTGCAGCACATTTAAATTATAGTGCCATTGGAGTGTTGCTAAGAGGAGCAATAGAGAGATAGGAGAAAAGGGGGAATACTGGTAAAAACAAAGAGGATTTAGAGATAATTTCCAGATTTTGATATTTATAAAACATTTCCCTACAACATACACACACATGTATATCCATTCACAATCCAAATCGGTGTGTTCTTTAGCAAGCTGCTTTCCTAGATAGATAGCAGCTAGCCAGGGACACCTAATCCAGATAAAGGAGAACACACGAGGTGATCCACTCAGCCTCGTATTCCACGAACGCTTACTTCCTGGAAAAACACTCAAACCTGAACTCAATCCTGAAACAAGACCTCACTTAACTTAGAGAGACGCTGGGAAAGATAAGTGCTGAAAGAATGGGGTCCGGGGACTTCTACTCACTTCATCTGTGACTACCAAAAACCACCCGGAATTAGCCGGTGGCTATTTTGGGGCGTTTGGGCATATCAGTTACCGTTTCAAACACTTTTAAGAGCTAAGTGCATTGATTGATTTTTGATAGCCCCTCCGAGTTAGAGGGGAGAAAGGAAATGAGAGAGAGCTTTAGTGTTCCCATTTTCCAATCTTACCCAGATCACTAATCTCCGCACAATCTATAGCATTCTGTTTGCTGCATGAATTATAAATTGAATCAATTCCTCAGGATACACACACTAAAGAAACATTAAACCTTTTTGTTTAACTTTCCCCCAATTTATGATTCATACTTTGCTTTTTATTCTCACAGTACCACCATACGGGTTTACGATCAACGGATGTGGAAGTAATGTATACGGTAAGCAACTTTTGAGAAAAGGTGCATCTGACTAATAATGCAATTTTATTTAAAGAAGGTTTTGTGACCACAAACACAAAGGGGAGGGGAAGAGTTAGAAATTGGCTATTCTGGGTCAGAGGTTGAATTATCATCTGCCTCTAGGGTAAAAAAATATATATATATAAATAAAATAAACGGCAGTCACTCTTGGCTGCCCAGCAATGGCTTACCACATGATGGGCAAGGTTTCCTTTCAGCCCACTAACGCTGAAAAAAAAAAAAAAACACACACACACATAGAGCAGCATGTCCACACACCTACACACAAGCAGTCATCTGCTGTCAGCGCTACGAGGCGCATGCTGTGTTCACACACGGAGGACGAGGCCAGGATTTCCACCCAAAAAAAATGATCAGGGACACCATAGAGAACCACAGCTTGCTATCTCCAAGCAGCATGCATCCTCTGATAAAGCAACGCTCGCTGGACAAAACCTCACACACTAAAGTGCTCCTGTTCACCATCCTGCACTGCTTTGACATCAGTCTGATGCAGTTACCTACGTCTCAGCGGTGCCCAACACCACCAAAGGGAAGTGGATGTGAGTCAGTCAGTCAGCTGCACACAGCTTCCTACGTCACAGTGTTGTCGAAGTGCATTCAGCCTTATTGCCTCTCTTCTCGCTAAGTTTCTCTTTGCGGCCAACACAAGATTTTTTTTTTTTTTCACTCCGCTCTCATTATTGATCATTTTAGTGAGTCATGTCACACTGACTCAAATACATACTGTATTTAGTAAGGCCTAAAGAGCTGTTTCACTGTAAGTGCAGGGTGTGGGCCCATCTTAGGACATGTATGCATGCAAGGCTTCCAGGAACCGTATGCTAATACATAGTGAGAAGGTTACCATCTGATGATCAAGCATTCTGTTTATGAGTGAGTAGATCTACAGTATACTTAATTGCCATGCAGTATCGGCACACTTCCTGGAAACTAGCCAGTGTGTGTGCGTGTTTGTGCATCTGTGTGTCTGTTAGTGCGTGAAATACAGAAGGGGTGTAGAAAGAGAGAGAGAGATCTTAGCTAAACGTAGAAATAGAAACATGAAAGTGAGCACCGGGCCTCTCATGAGCTCAGAAATAGATATTTTCTCATGTAATTTTACTCTTTCTTAGCTCCCTGCAGCGACATACGTGCACATTAACCCGCACGTACCCAGACGCACGCTACAGCAGAGGTTACTAGGATACAAGGGGGTGTTGCTGCTTATTATATCCCGACAACACACACAGGATGCCTAGCTTGGCTTGTTGAAGAGGCAATTGAAACATTCTTGTGCAGCAATGTACAGCTTCTAACAAATAAACTATTGCTTAACATGGTTCAGCAGCTGAAAACAATTCAAAATATTTTTTTTTTGACAAAAGGAGACAAAACATACAGGTTTTGTTTGACGTACAGATGCATCCAACATAAGGACACTATGTTTCTTTAATAAAACTACTTCCTTACCTGAGTTTCCGTTAGACTCTCCAAGGCTTGCATTACTGACTGTTCTGGTCTTGATGCTTGAGACTGCAAATAAACACAAGACATTAACTTTAGGAATCCTGAATTTTAAAAAAAATGCATTTTGTATAGTGGAAATAAACTCCATTCTCTATCTGTACGTAGATTCAAAACAAAATAACAAGACAAGCCTTACCATTAATCCTGCTTCGACTGTTGGTACAAGTGTTAACTTGCTCCCATCAGAGATGCCTAGATCCTGGAGTTTGCCTGAACTTAGTCGCCTGCAGGGTTGCACAGAAGGAGATAATTAGACTGTGCTGACAGTATCTTCTCCCTCTATAGGCTTACAAACAGCCCCCAGCAAGGAGGGTTTGGGGGATATAGGGGGAGCTAGGCAGACTTCAAAACTAGTTTGGAAAAGAGCCGTGGGTAAAAAGCTCCATGAAAGAGATGTATTGATTGGGGTGTCATTTTTCAATTTCAACTATAGTGCAGCTTGACAAGTGCATGCAGTGGATATTTGGCGCTGCTGCCACTTGCCTAAGTGGAGGTAAGTACTTTCTACTGGCTGTGCGAACAAGAAGCAAAAGCTGCAAAAAGAAACAAATAGCTATATGGCTCTGTTTGAAATTTGGTGGTATAACAGATTATATTTCAGATAACCCAACATAGAGAAACAGATTTCTTGTCTTCTCTTCTCAGTCTCTTTTCCTTCCCTAAGGTTAGACAAAGTATCCATGGGACAGCCTCCTGCACATGCATGACCCAAATCTCACCCTTTGCAGCTGAACAAAGACCAGCAGTGCCGACTTTGCAATAGGTCTGCATTTCGAGACACAAGGGGAGCTTAAAAAAAAAAAGGGGGTATTCAGGGTTTAAAGGGATGATGTGATTTATAAGGTGATTACAAAGGCTGGGAGGTGAAGCTGATTGAAAAACAATGCAGACTGTTTGCATGTAAAGAAAACACCCCTTCTCAGGTTTTTCTTTTAATAACGCCACCTGCATTACCAATGTCTTGTTTGAGTGGTAGAGCATTTGAGAGCCTTAAATAACAATAGGAGTTAACCCATGCAGCCATGCATTAATGCTATTAAAGCAGTGGGCCCTGATTACTGGAGAAACCGGCAAGCTGACTACAAAATAATATGCTGTGAAACCACCATTATAAAAAGGTAGCATCAAGGTGAATCATCTTTCCTTACATATGCATTATGGTGTAATCCACACTGCAGATCTATAGAGCCATGCTTCTGCATTTGAGTCAATTCAATTCTGCAAACTGCATCATTTTGGGTTTTGAATATTATGCATGAACACCGCCTTCCTTTTTTTTCCCAGTGTGGGCCGAAAGACATCATCTATTAATGCAACAGATGTAACCATTTGAACTGCAGATCCCAGTTAAAGCAAGTGATGTCAGTGCATGCACATTATCTACTTAGTAAGGTTTACTCACGTTTCTTTGTGCAGAAGAGCGAGTCTCTCTTTGGGTACTTTAAGTCTTTGTGAGAGCCTTCTCTTCAGTCCCTCCACGGTCTCCTCCTGGGGCAGAGAGAGCTCGAAGCGTGTGCCGGTGGTGGACTGGATGTAAAGATTCATGGAGGGTTCAGCCGGGACGGCTTCGCAGGACGAAGTCCCGCGACTGGTGCAGCTCCGGGCGCTCGGATGCTGGTCCATTCGATAACCTGTGCGCAGAGACGGCGGGGGGAAGGGACGGGAAGGAGGGAGGCAGGGAGGGAGGAGGACAGGGCGAGCAGGAGCCGGGTTAGAAGGAGGGAGCGGAATCCGTCGCTTCGACTACCGTCCCTGCGAAGGCAGCATTCAGGGCTTTCTCTCTACGAAACCTTTGGTGCGTCCTTCCTACAGTCAGAATGAAACCAAGTCCGGCCGATTTCATGAGAATATCCCCACAGGAAATCAACTATACTGCAAAAAATATATATTTTCTCTTTGTTTGATCTTCTTTAAATCTCTTTGCAGCCTTTTTTCCCCCCCAAGTTGCAAGCAAGTCTTCCGAAATGCTACATTAGGCAAAAACCAGACAGAAACGAAATTATACTGTCAGCAAAAAGAAAAAAAAATGCTGTAAACTTTAAAAATGGGAGATCTCATTAAAAAAAAAAATGGAACCAAGCTCCGTATGGATGTTAGGTGAGGTTGCTGCAAGCATCAAAGGAGCGGAGCTGCAGCGCCCTGTTCGGCTCTCAGACCCACAGCAGCCCCGGTGGATGGACCGACAATGAACATTGTCACAAGGTATCCCACTTCCACCAGCGATGAAAAAAAAAAACGCCCACAGCCCTCGGAGAGAATCAACCAATCACGACCGAGCTCTTTCAGGACGCCGCTGATGTCAGCCAATTAGAATGTGAGATCCACACCCACGTGGAGGGCAGACGGGTTTAGGCCATTCATAATAAATTACAGCATAGAACAAAGTATGTGCCCACACCGCAGAAGCCTTTAAATTCACTATGGCAAAAGGCGGATTGAAATAATAGCTTTTCATAGTGATCATCAACATAACAAACGATAACTAAGATGTTTTAAATATATTTTTGCGTCTTCAAACTCTCGTATTTATGTCAGGATTTATCTCTAAGAGGGTTGTTTTAGATTAAGAAACTCAAAACTCTTTAAAATAACTACAGGCTACTATTAGGATACATCATGATGGGACATTTCCAATATGAAAAATTATAAATGTTCTGTTATTCGGCCCATAATCTACTTTAAATATCCACTGGATGCGGTAAATATCTGATTTTTATTTTTTCCCGGAAATCTTTGATCAGATGTATTTTAATAACATTCATAGATCTCCCCTCATCATCACTAGCACATAAGCATGCAGGGTTGCAAACCTCATTAAAGCGATCGAGAATGTTATGCAAATGTCAACATTGTAAACTTTCAACATTCCCATAAGGAAGAAGAATACCAGGAAGTTTTTTTTTCCTTTTTATTTATCAACTTTTTCTGGCTCAAAAAAAAAAAAAAAGGATTTGACTGCTATTTCAAATAGGCCTGTGCCCCTGAAAGAAAAAATATGCAGTGCTGCGATTTGTTTGAGGGGTATTACAGCCTAAAATAAATAAAAAATATAATAAAAGAGAAGAGAAGGAGCGAAAATCAGATAAAACTTGAGGATATTTTAATAAAGAGAAGGAGAGAAGAGGGAAATCTCAGAGCCTAAAACAAGATACTATGTCGCCCTCTAGTGGTCTTAGAACGAACACGCCTCTGCATTAATAACCTGCAGTCCAACCATTCATTCTCCACTAATAATAGGATTTTTGTAAATTTTCAAATATAATTGTAAAGTTAGACTGTTAGAAGTCATACAAGTGAAGAGTAGCAAACACTAGTAGTAACTATAATGTCGTTTTTACAACATAATGACTCAAGAATGCAACCGAGCAGAAATTAGAATTTATATCAATATACTTAAAAGCGACGTTTGCTTCCAATTGTAAAATACTAAATACATTAATAGCGTTTCTAGGACTTAAGCTGAGAATTACGAACAAAATTGACCCCCCACCTACAGAACAAAAGCCCATATCAAACTTAAAAAAAAAAGCCAAAAACTAAGTGAACTCACTAAAATTCAGTAAAGGCGTACTTACCAATAATAGTGGCGAAAACTTTAAAGCTTCGCTGGGAATTGGGCTGTTTTGCAGTCTGTTCCCCCAGCTTTGGCATGAAAAGTAAAGCAAACTTTCTGATAAATCCAAGCGATTTAAAGTATCATCCACCAGACTTGTTTCTCTTGGCTTCTCCGTAGATGCGCTTCGGTGTGTCGCACGGCGCGCGCCGCTTCACGTGCTTTAATAGCAGCCCGGAGAGTCCTGACCAATAGCAGCGGATATGTCCCAAGGTGTCCGGCTCTTCTCAGTACGCCGGTGTGTTTCTCGGTGATGACAGCGGAACCGGGAAGGTGAGACTCCTCTTTAAAGTGGCTCCGCACGGATATGGGAGGAGAGTAGCGTTCTTGCTCAGTCGACATATCATTTAAGGTGGAATTTCACCCTCACGCTACAACAGCCTCGGAGTGGTGGGGGTGAAGCCTCTAGGCAAAGCAAAAGCAGGTGGTGATACTCAATATCCAACTGCGTTAAATGCCTTGGCTCCTTAACCGAATTAGATACTTGCAGAGAAATTCAACTCTTCATTTTATTGCCTACGACCTTAAAAGAGCGTCAATGAATCGAAGCCCGTATTTCAGGGGGCGTTGCCAACCTCTGACGACGTCAACGCGTCGCTGGGCAACAGAGCAGGTAAACAACCTCCCCCCCTGGATACTAGCCCTGGTCACAGGTAAACAAAAAAAAAATGTACTGGCAGGGTTCACTGCTCTGTTTAAGGAAATAATAAACGCGCTGTCAGCACCTCATGAGCATAAACAAAACAAACATATGGCTCGCAACGATTCATTAAACCCAGACAAGTAAAATATGGTATTTTACAATAAATGAACAAGGATCGAATTGGAATATGAACAGTTTAATTTGAATCTATAGATTAATGGATTGTTTTGAAATGATGTATTTCTGGATTTTAATTGAATCTATGTATTGTTGTAAAGTGTGATATGGCATTTGTTGTGAATTGGCACTATAGAATAAAACAGTTAATAGAAATTTAAAATTTATGTTGATGGTTTATATGATTCGGGTACTAGGATGTTATGACCTCTGACAGGTAGCAGTGACTAACTCATTGTGATGCTATCTGCTTTTGAGTGGGGTACATAAGAGATAAAATGAACACTGTTTCCTGAAACAGCTGACGTATTAGACAAACAAACATTAAACAAGCAAGCATGGCATGAGAATATAAACAAGTTTAACAAGGGAGACGTTGTCATAGTTCTTAACACCTCCAAACCTTCTGCTCCTGTGCGATCCTGGTCTGCAGAAGCATTTGTCTGTGAAAGCTGGTGGAGACGTTAAGAACCAGCAGCGAGGTCATTGGTGGCAAAATGTCATTGATGCATGAAGGGAAGCCTGTGGGGTCTGCAACTGCAGCAGAACAATCAGGGTTCCTATACAGAACCGTCACTCTACCACTGCTAGCGCCTAATATGGACATCTAAGCATTAAAAAATAATCATAAGGCAATTTAAGAAGGTATGCTTACCTCTCTTTTTTTATTCTAATTTTAAATAAAATTGTTTTATAGCTATCAAGTGAGCCGACAAACATCGATGTGAATGTGTTGGAACATTAGAACAACACTTGTGAGATTCCTACTTTAATTTTTGATTCAGTGTAATAATAAAAAAAAATGAATTTGTATTTCCACATCAGCAAAATACGGATGTTTTATTGTTTTCTTCTCTTTTGCATAGTTATAACTTTTACAGTTGAGATAAGAAGCGTCGTTAATGTGTTCTTTTCCACAGAATAAATGCACTGTGCTGCATGATAATATTTAAATTTTACATCAAGCTAATCTGTGATAAGCAGTTTTAGTGATGCTCTCACTCATAAGTTAAAACAGGATTTTATTTTGCAAAAACATACGGTATATCTCCATGCATCTCTTTTAATAGGAATTTTCTTTTTCTTTCAACCACAGCAGAATATTCTGAGATATAAAGTTTACACTACAGTGCTTATAGGGGGTGATGATACACTAGTCTGTTCAGCAGAAGAAGAAGGAAAGAACTTATCAGATAAAAAAAATACTAAGTTGGTATTTATTCATCAGAAAAGTTAGATGCTTCCTGAATCCTTGTGGTTTCAGAAAGATAAATTATGCAAATTGGGAAATGAGCAGATGCATGTCTGAAAACCAGACACCCTTATTTTCCTTAATATGTTGGTTTCATTTGAGGTCTAAGGGAAGTATCTTTAGGCTGACTGATGCAGATGATGGAATTTACCTTACAGAATTTAAAGTCTGCTTGACAGCTGAGAAAATTTAAATGTGAAAGCTGTTAAAGCAGACTTTTGGTCTTAATTAATGACACATATTGCTTATATATGTGCATCTTTACATTGTAGATGATGCATGTGTTTAAAAAATAAGTGTTGACCTCTGTGCAATTTAATGTAGATAACAGTCGCTTCCTGCGCAGCGATTACTTCCTATTATTTCAAACTTGTGATAGTTCTCATGATTTAGTTCACATCTGAGACACAAGAAACATGTTGTTCAATGTGCTTTAGTTAAAAAAAGGACTTGACTAGAACTGTCCCTACTCGCTGCCTCAGGCTCAGGAGCAGCACAGACTGTCTGTCTGATAACACGGAGATACACTCCTCCCCACTTTGCAGGGGACACTGTGCCCCATCGGCATGTTATCACACTGCCTAAGAACTGAATCATCCCTTTGTGCATCTGTGTGTGTATAAGAGAGAGAAAGAGGCAGAAAATGCAGGCCATGTTGAAAAGAAAACACTGCAGTTATCTCACAGATGCTTCACAAGCAGACAAAGGTGACTGTCTTCTCGTAGCCCAGCCGGCTCCCTCTCGCTTCTTATCTGCCTCAATCTCTTTCCTCCTCCCTGGAAGATGCTGACTCAGAGAAAGAAAAGTGAAAGGAGTTGGTCAAGCTCCCACCTGAAACCTAACCCCTATCTTTGAGTCGAATGCTGCAAATTATAGCTTGTCTCAAGGCTGGTCATGTTGGTTTGCAAGACTCTAGTTCAGAGGGAGCTAATTGGTTCTGAAGTTTGTCACTGCGGGGGCTGGAGAGTTAGTTTCTCCTTTCAGATGAGACAGTGTTTGACTTTACTTCTCAGCAGGCTTGGCTCGGGTCATAAGGAACACTCTGACCTGTTTAGCTATGATTAGACCTTGTAGTTGAGGTGAAAACCTCACTTGTCCTCTGACAAAGGCACAGCTCTCAACCCACGTAATCTATATCTTTGCTCTTCTTGTCGATTTTTCAGCCTTCAGTTAAGTAAGGGTTCAGTGTTTCTTGGATTGTGAAGAGACATCTGCTTTCGTTGTGTCATTTATTTCAGTATACATCACAGGCACACTATGTTTTCTGGGTCTGTCGCTGCTAATGTGACAAAGTGAGGTGAAAAACAAAGTTAATGTTCAGATTTGTCATCATGAAACCTTAAAGCTAAATGGGTTTGACCATGTGCTGCATGTTGCACCAGGATGCACATGGTCAAGCCCGTGATGAAGAACACAGGCGCAACCCCCACAAGCAGCCATCTACATGATCATGCATCACACATACTTCTGGGAAGAAGTTTATTGACAGAGGAGGAAGGCTGGGTGGGCGGGTCGTAAACATTTCACGCAGAATGTCAGATCTACTCGGCCCGTGCCGTGTGTGTGTGTGTGTGTGTGGAGATTGTGTATCTGTTTGCAAGTTTGTGCATCTGAGCCTTGCTGAGTGAGTGTATGGGACATGTGTGGGCGTGTGAGTGTGTGTGGGTGAGCAGCATTCCTATCCATCAAAGTCAGCAATGGGCCGCCCAGTGCCCGGGGAGAAAAATGAACCAAGCCTGGTGCTACTCAGGCCGTTGCTGTCCTATTATGCCTGCCACCATTTCCTCCTGATTCACCCTGAGTGGTTGTGAGTGGGACAGCCGCACCTCGCTAACTCACAACAGAGCCACAGGGTTCTGACACAAATAGTGAGGATGCCTGCATATCGTGCATGTTGATGCAGACCCAGTGTTCAAATGGCTCATACAAGGTGTGTCTGTCTCTGACGGATAAATTAATGAGAAACAAATGCGTATTTTGCTCATTAAAAAGAGAAAGAAAACATGAAAATCAATTTCCCTTGTACAAATAGAGTAAAATGTTTTTACATATTTTTGTGTAAAGAATATTATATTTTAATAAAATAGTCATCTTTAAAAACTACAACCTATCATTAAGGTGGTATCATGTTTAATACCTGGTTAAAGGTTGTTATTTTCAGAAGTTGCTTTTAATCGGACAAATGACCTCATCAGAATGTAGATTCTTATCTATTGTATGATGGTGCAGCAATGGCTGTATTTTGTGTTCGTGATGGAGCAGAATTATGTTTTATTTTTTTGTGTAGTTGTTGATTTATGTGTTCTGTTTTAGGATGATACCTGGTCATTAACAACAGATGAAAAATAGCCCTTTCTGCTAACTCTCGCATATTACAATAAAACATTTGAAATATTTGTTACCGTACCTAAAATGTGCGATCAGGCTTTGGAATGTTTATTTGGAAAGACTCCAACTCTTTAATCCTTTCGAGAGAAAAAAAAGAAAAAAAAAACAATAGGTGAAGATCTTGTATTTGCTGCATTTACAGGTTTTACTATGAGTAAACAGGCGTTCAAGAGACTATGACTGTTTTAAAAAGTTTGCACAGTCAGCTCTGATTAAAGATGACTCGCCACTCAGTACAAAACAACACTGACAATCTGGGATTTCTGGGTTTCACAAGGTGGTTAGCATGTAATGACAGGATGACACAGAAGTTAAAAACTCTTAACCAATCATTAATGCCAGAAGTAATCTGTATGATACTGTTAATCCCCTAAAAACAAAATGTTGTAATAGTAATAGATTCTTGGCACCCAGACCTCTTTTTTTTTCTTTTTTGTCCTTTTCAACCTAAAGTTTTGTTTAAAAGCAAACATAAGTCCCATTTACACAACCCTTTTGAAAGCCGAGATAGGTCCAAGCACGGTAACCGAGATAACTGTTGAGTGTGAATGGCACGCATGACTAAACCAAACCGCGCTAGACACAACCGAACTGTGCTAAACTGGTACTAGTTCATTAGTAGGGCTCGGCGCGGTTCAGCTCTGGCTCGGTTCTCAGACAACAAAGAGCACAAGAGCAAACCGAGTCATCTTCTTACAGTCAGCCTCAGTAATCATGACTTCAGACATTCATAGAAATACAAGCTTCCCTGCCATGCCACACGATTTCCAATGATGATGCTGCTTAGCAGTGTGATTAACCTCAAA